CACCCTGAGGTCACAGAGAAAGGAGAGCAAACAGAAGAAACTAAAACCTCCTGAGGGGCGATGGGGAGGAGAAAGAGGGAGGGAGGGGGAGGGGAGGGAGGGACAGACAGAGAGGAGCAAGAGCACACAGCAGAGCGCATGTAAAGGACAAACAGCACGAGACAGGGGACCTCTCAACAGGAGCATGGAAACTAGAAGACAACGGGACACGCCACTGAAATTCTAAGAGAAAAGTGTTCATGTTCCAACCTGTAACTTGTTGCTCAAACTGCCAATCAATCAGACTGAGGATGGGGTAAAGATATTTTCAAAAAAACTCCTCCCATGCACTCGTGGTCTGGAAGCCCACCCTGACTTGGCTGGGGAGAACAGGCTGCAGAGGGTGAGGCCGGGGAAACACAGGGCTGGCCAGTCACCTGAGGGGTGGAGAGGAGATTTACACCTCTGACCGACAGTCAGGGGCCCAATCAACGGGGGTAAATAAAAAGGAAGCAGCAAACATGCAGCTAACCCCCCAAATTAGAGACACTAGTCAACACAAGGAAAACGTGATAAGGGAAAGGAAATAAGAGTCGAATCATAGTGTATTATGTGGATTTGCTGTGAACAATACTCATCAAAATCCTGACAAAGGATGTAGTCAACAACTTTTCAGCTATCAGTGACAAGTAGCATGTTGGTCTGTTGATCCAACATGACGTCGTTAGCTTCCACAGGGTGTTCACCCCTCCCTGTCCACTCCCTCTGTCCTGGTCAGTCCAGTTTACTGTCCATGCTCCCCCGAGCAAAGCCTCGACCCCATGTTCACAACCCCATCCTCCACACTGTGGCCAAAGGGCTCTTCCCAAAGGCAAACCTTAGTGGGTTACTCCTGCTCTCATCCCAAAAGGATTTCTTTTCAGAAAGTGTCTCTCTGGAGGTGTCAGACCTGTGACACCTTCCACATTGGAGATGGATCCCAGATATCACTTCCTGTGACACCTTCTTCAGTGGAGATGGAGCCTGGGTATGATATCTGAAATGAAAACTCTGTTTGGGTTTAATATCATATTGGAGATGGCAGAAACTAGGATGAGTAATCCTGAGGACAGAACCAAAGAAATTATCCAACTGAAAAACAGAGAGTAAAGACTGAAAAACAGAACTGTGAGAAGTAACAAGCAGAATTACATACGTACATTAGTTGGAGTTTCAGAAGAAGAAAATGAAGAGAATGGAGCAGCAAAATAAAAATGTTTGAATGCTAGTAAAAATTTTCCCAATTTGATGAAAAACATTCATATGTAGATCCAAGAAGCTCAGCAAACTCAAGCAGAATAAATACGTACACTTGGGTGCATAATCGGAAACCCCAACCCCTCAAAAAAGGAGAAAACCTTGAAAGCAGCCAGAGAACATGTCACATCACGTGCAGGGGACAATGATACAGGTGGATATGAAAGATGACTGATTTATCATTGGAAGCAATGGAAGTCAGAAGACAATGGGATGACATCTACAAAATATATCCTTCAAAAATAAGTGTGGCAGTTCCTCAAAAAGTTAAAAGTAGAATTTACATATGATACAACAGTTCCGCTCCTGGGAATATATCTAAATAATTGAAATTAAGGCCTTGAAGAGGTATATGTACATCCATGTTCACAGCAACACTATCCACAATAGCTAAACGTCGAAGCAATCCAAGTGTTCATCAGTGGATGAATGAGTAAGCAGAATGTGTTACGTACATGCAATGGAGTATTATTCAGCCTTGAAAAGGAAGGATGTTCTGACGTGGATGAGCCTTGAGGACATTATGCTGAGTGAAATAAGCCAGACACAAAAGGACAAATATTGTAGGGTTCCACTTACATGAGGTTTCTAGAATTAAGTCATAGAGACAGAATGGAGAATGATGGGTACCAAGGGCTAGGGGGAGGGGGGAATGAGTAGGCAGTGTTTCATGGGGACAGAGTTTCAGTTTTACAAGATGAAGAGTTCTGGAGATGGATGATGGTGATAGTTTCACAATACTACAAATGTATTTAATGCCTCTTTCCAGGCAGGCTCCTCCTTCACATTCTTTGGGGTCCATTGCAGTGACCACAGGCATTTTTGGGACCCCACCAAGACGAGCGTGAGTTGGGATGCATTTACTCGGGGCTTATCGGATATTTTTACTCTGTTCACAGTCTTGCTGGCCTGTCCTGGGGCAGATATGTCTTCTATGGCTACCAACTACCCACCTCACAACACCCGGAACTGGAAGTATGCAGGAGAGAAGGAGAAACAAGGTTTGTCCTATGAACCAGAAGGGAGACTGCAGAACTGTCAGCAGAGGACACCGGGATAGAATGTGTTATTAACTACGGAAACCTCAGCCAAAGTTGGAGTCTGAACAGGCCCGCAGGGGGCGTGCATGTCAATAAAGCCATCTCTGCCTACATTCCCCACAGGAAGGTGCCTCTAATTACTGTCCAGGAGGAGGAAGGAAACGTCCCTCTGCCCCAGGATGGCCCAGCTAATCACAGACCTCAGCGGCCCAACCAATGGGAAGCCTCCATACTCTGGGACCCCAAACTCTCCAGTGGGCTCTTTGGTTGTCACAGCCCTTCCCAACTCCCCCTTTTCCCTATAATAAAGCAAGTTCTCACTCCTTGTTCTCTGGATTTGCCTTTTTTTTTTTTCTGGGAGAATGCCTGGTTTATTTGGTTACATTCTTGGTTATGGCCTTTCATGCCTCTTTTTTTTTTAAACATTTTTTATTGATTTATAATCATTTTACAATGTTGTGTCAAATTCCAGTGTTCAGTGGATTTGCCTCTTATCTACCATCATTCTCATATCCTGAATTGCAATTCCTTTGCTGTTCCCAAATAAATTTGCTTTTGTTGATAAAATAACCGGTATTATATTATTAAAGTTGACAGTAACACACTAACGTTTGAGGCTTGCTAAGTGATGCCGGCACCTCTATGCCAATGAAGGAATCTGCAGGTACCATCACTCGTGTGGGGGCTTTATGTGTGTACACCCCCGTCACACTTCCATATGTGGAAGGTCCGTGAGCGGCCCTTATGTTTGGGCAACCTGTTGCCTTGCTGGCCGGAGAGCACAGGGCAGTGTGGCCCGCCATATTCACCGTCCCATTCTCCCCACATCACTGAACAGAAGCCTCATATGGATCCGTCCCATTAACCCTTTACAACTGCCTTGAGTGAGAACTTCTAGGAGGCATAAGCAGTTCTGGCTTTGCCTCCGTAGGGACAGCTTTCCCCCCACGGGTGGGAGTGAGCACCAGCGAACCAGGGATCAGGAGGCTGGGAGAGCCAGCTGACCCTGGAGCCCGCGCAGTTTCAGCTGGGCGACCGTCACTCCACACTCTGGCCACGGTGGTTTTGGGTAACCACGCAGCATGTGATCACCTGCTTGCTGAGAGGTGTCTGCAATCGTAAACTCGTCTTGCTGCAAGTGGTTAAATGCCTCTGGGGAGGCAGAGACTCAGTTACATACACTAAAGGGCAAGCACACTGGCCACAGCGAACACCACCCGACACCCTACTGCCTGTTCAACTGGACACCTTCATCTCTGGCTCCTGGCTTAGAACCACCTTGCAAACTGGGTTTATTATGTTGTATTAATTCTGGTCTGGTATTTGTCAAGTTTGTCAAACCTTTATAAGAATGACAGGCCTAATAAGATGATGCTAGCTCAGCACCTTGAGGTAATTTCCAGCGCTTACAGCCCTGACTAACCACGGACTTTTAACACAGGACACCTGAGAGCGCTCCCTACACCTTTGCTTGTTACTCAAGTGCAGGTGCGTGAGGTCTCTCACTTGTGTACTTTCCAAGTGCGCAGGGGAAGGTCCTTCCTGGCGCCGAGGGAGAAACCACTATCATGCAGAGATCCTGACTCTTAATCAGCGATGCTCTGATCAAAAGGGGAAAAAGTGGAATGAATGACAGAAACCTCAGCTAAAGTATGAGTCAGGACACTCCAAACATCAGGTGGGTAAAGGGCACTCGCGCATCACCAGGCACATCAATTACCCCGAACAGGAAGCGACCGCCGGTCTCCGCCTGTCTCCCACAGGAGGGCGCCTCTACTTACCAACCAGGAGGAAGAAGGAAGCTTCCCTCTTCTTCCCCCAGGACGGCCCAGCCCATCAGAGGTCTCAGTGGCCCTAACAGTGGGAAGCCTCCATACTTTGGACCCCCACCCCAACTCCTCCAATGGATTCTGGTTATCACAACCCTTCCCCACTCCCCCTTTGCCCTATAAAAGCAAGTTCCTCCTCCATGTTCCCCCGTTTTGACTGCGACTCCCCCATAGTTCATAGATCCTGAACTGGAATTTCTCCGCTATACCCAAATAAACTTGCTTTTGCTGCTAAGATAACAGGCTATTACATTATTAAAGTCAACACATTTTCAGAATTCCTGTGTTGTGGAGCGTAAACCTGTAGGAATGCCACAGTGAGCACATCTAGGTGAAACCTCAAGTATTACCCAAATCAACGTCAGCATTAACGATCAGATACACATCGGATCAAACACCTTGGAGAAACGTCTGAATTGTCTTTCTGTTGTTTCTATAATGCAATTCTGCAAAGTCACGATGTGGCATTCAATGAGAACACAGCCAAAAATGTCAGCAAAAGCACTAGAGATGCATCCATTGATTCATGGAAATATCCTCCTCCGAATTTTGAGATGTGGCATGTCAGTTTTCAAAAATTCATAATTTATTGACTTATTTTCTCATTAAATAAATTATAAAATAACTAAAATATTAGTTATTTTAAATAACATTAACATTATATTATGTATACATAGTACATTATTTTATCATTATGTATATATTTTTTAAAATGTTATACAAGAATATTATTTTCTGTAAGCAATTTTGTTTTTATAATTTTATTTCCTTTGTCCTCCACATATTAACATGTGCTTCAGGCCCCACCAAACCTGCATCTACCCCTGCCCCCACCATCTTGGCATCACCTGAGCACAACTCCAGAGAAACAAAACTTTGAATTGCATGAGGGTGACAAAAAAAAAAAAGCATGAAACAGAAACTAATTTCACCTACAGAAAAATCAACGCAGCCACCTTTTCTCTGCATCCAGTTTGTGCACCCACTTTGCCTGCGCGTGGCGTGGCGGGGCCGAGGGCTGGTGACCCCCATCTCCACAGGGGCGGCCCGGATGCCAGTGTGGGGCCCAGTCTCCCTCCCTCTCCCTGCGCCCCCTCCTCCCCGGGTCTTTCCCTTCTCCCCGGTGCACAGCACCCCCTACTCGAATTCCTCCTTCCCCTCCCAGTACCCCTCCCCAAGTCCTGAGCCCCCACTTCGTTAGGAGGGCCTTCCCGCGCTGCGCTGCCCCCACAACCGAGTTCCCCTGCTCCCACCCCCACGTCCTCTCACCTCTCCGCCAGCGGAATCCCCACCCCTTCGTGCCCCTCTTCGCCCCCTCAGTAACCTCGTCCCCCCAGGCCCCCCGCGCCCCTCAGTACCCTCGTCCCCCCAGGCCCCCCGTCCCCCCTTCGCCCCAATACCC